TAGTGCATCGTGAGTATCGACCGAGAGGAGAGGGAGTTACCTGCTGTGACCGAGAGCAAGAAGAAAAGAAATCCTTGAGCAGAAAATTCCCTGTGCTGTCCGCGAGCTGAGGATAGGAATTTCAAATCTCTTGCGTGAGGGCTTATCTGGTTTTTGAGGTAATTTCCTTGGGTTAAATTTAAGTCAAGCATCAGTAGTTGAAGTTATTTCAGAGTATGCTTGTGTTGTTGTTGTGGTCAGACGAAAGAAAAAAAAAATGAATGAGAAATCTGTTTTGGGAAGAATTGGTTTTGCCGTGAGCTTGAATAAGGAATGCAGACTCGATTATTGCTTAATTGAAGTATTCTGAGCTCAGATATGAGGCTGCTTACCACTAAACATGATGCTCAAAGTCATGCATGTCAATCTGGGTGTTCGGATGATGAACTTAAGACATTAGAAAATTTTTCTGTTTCGGTTAAATGTCTTTGCCGAGAGTGGATTGGAAATTATAGCTTTATTTTCGCTCCTCCTGTGACAATCTGAACCTAATTCTATGTTTAACCAATCATGAACAAGAAGACTAAGCTAATCAGGGGCATGCATGTATGGTTTAGGCAGTCGGTTGAGGAAATCAAAACTCTAGAAAATTCTGTTTTGGTTGAAGAAATTTCTGCCGAGGAGCTTGCTTGGGTTGGTAGTTTCACTTCCGAAATTATGCGACAATCTGAGGTGATTAATTGTTTAACCAATTAAAAACCATAAGTTCAGGTCTTATAAGAGCTTGCATGGGGAGGTTAAGGCATCCGGATGGGATTTTATTTTAATTTTGAAAAGAATTTCTGTTACATAATAATAGAGAAATTTCCGTGAGCTTACTTTGATTATTGCAGTCTAAATTGGTTTTAATTTTGTGATCTGAGTTATAACAATAATTACATAGCTTATATCAAGGATTAGACTCTGCATGTAATTGATTAAGTGTCATGCATGATAATAATTGGGCCTGGATTAATCTGGAAAATAAGAAGATGAAAACAGAATTTTCTTTCAGATATTGGTGTCTTGTTGTAGCTGCCGAGCTGAATTTTCTGGACTGACTTGATAGCTAATAAATTCAGAATTTGTGCTTAAGTAATCAAGGAGTAAATTGAAAGGCCTCAACTGATGATATTAACAGATAAGGAACTAATGAGATTAGAAAATCCTGTTTTGTTTGTGCATGAATCTGCCGAGAGGATTGGTATGGAATTGTAACTGGAATTCTTTTTGCTTGAGATCATTTGAGCTCTCAAGTACAAATAGCCGAGTGAAACTTAATGTGTATGATGTCTAGGACCCTGCAAATTAATTCTATGAAGTTAGTAGACGAATTAAAGAACCGAGAAATTCTGGTTTGAGGGAACTCTTTTTGCCGAATCTGATTAGGGAATGATTTGCTCAATTTGTTTAATTAGCCAATTTTGATGAACTGTGGTTATTATCTTAACTAACTAAGGGAAGATAAGACATCTAAGGGCCTGTATGTTGAGTTGCACGAATGGATAATGTAATTGGAAACTTGGAAAAAAATTCTGGATTTGTGTGATGAACTCGAGTATATAGTATGAACCTGAATTTGAATTGGAAATTTTCACTAGCTAGCTACATGTCTTCAAGAGCTATTAGAGTACAAAAAATTCCTGTTTTAACCAAAGAAAAATTCTGTTTTGGAATCATTTCTATTGCTGGAATCCGCTTTCGAATTACCGTTAACTTGAATCTGAAAATCTTGAAATTTTAACAATGGTTTAACTCCAACTTCCGAACAAAAATTATGCAGTGTTTAGCTAAGTCATTACATGAGAAAGTGAGAGTTAATGGCCTGCTCTATCCGAGTAAATGAAGTAAACAGAAAATTCCCTTCATGCATAAGTCATTCGTGGTTTACTAAACAGATTTTTGAAAATTTTGGGAAGTTTAACTCTATTGCTCGAACTTGATTATGAACCAGAATCTGCGGTTTGACTTTAGAATTTATTTCCTTAAGTTGTAGGGAACTCGAATTGCATGATTAAACGCACAAGTAGCCTGTGGATTCTGTTTGGAATCGGAACGGGAAACTTGTATCGACCCTACGAACTCGAGTAGCCGCATTCAAAAAAAATTTACCAAAAATATTCTTCAGCTAGCATTATATTATTAAGCTCCAAAATTAGCGTTTCGCCTAAAACTTTCTAATTCAAAAATTTCCTCCCACTCAAACTAGCCTTGCTAGCTCTAGAAAATAATTTGTATAGCTTTTGGAAACTCTAAGTTTTAATTTAATTCTTTTCCTTCCCTAAGCTTTGCACTTGGATAGTCAACTATATGAAAGTTTCAAAATATAAGTTTTACCAACTTTAGCGAGAAAGCTTGGGATACTTGCTCGGCAAGAAACCCTATTCTAAGGGAAAATAGTTTTTACATATAAGCTTTACAAAAAGCCGTAGTTTAGAGAAATATTCAAAGTAACCTTCTAACTTGGATTTTTGGGAAAATTATCGACTTATTTCTCGTAAGTGATACTAGTTACCTTTCCTAGTATAAAAGTATGAAACACTTTTACTACATTTACAAAGCTTCAATCTAAATAGTTTTGGAATTCCTTAAGGGAGTAATTAGTATTGAATTCTTTTACGAATAAGTTAAAAACTGAATAGAAACTTATAGTTTCAAAATTTGGTTTCTAGGATTCCTCGAGGACACGGATTTTGACTCCCAACCTGTTATCTGAACTCCACTTTTGGTGAGTGTCCCTGCCTGTTCTTTTCCTACTTGAATTAAGTGCTTTCTTGACTTGCTATGTGCTAAACTGCAAAGAAATGAGTTTTGATCCATCGAAGTGAGCAGTGTGTACTTTATCGCACTAGCCGTTCGAGTGGTGACATGTGTGAATCATTTTCTAATGAATCCTCGAATCTAAACGTAGTTAGTCGTTGGGTGAATCCCTCGACATCTGAATCTAACTACAAAAACATTAAACCTAACCGTAGTTAGTCGCTGGGTGAATCCCTCGACATCTGAATCTAACTACAAAACCCTTGAATCTAATTGTAATGAGTCGTTGGGTGAATCCCTCGACATCTGAGTCGATCTACAATAAAGTCGTTGGGTGAATCCCTCGACAAATTCTATTACGAGTATATCTCGAGTATACTGCGTCGGTAGATGAAGTTAGGGCCCAAAGCGGAGTTATGAACGGTGACGGGTTAGGATTAAAATAAGTGAATCTACATGGACTTTAAGTAGTGAGAGTTGACGGAGGGTCAACTACGATAAAACGGCATCCAAGCAAGGGAAATGGCTCCTGAGAGCCCTGTATCCTACTTTGTGTGGCTATACGCTTTCTTAATTGTTTAATTTGTGTAAATGACTGCTCGTTACTTGAATTACGTGACTGCATGTTTTGGGGCACCACTGAGCTTTAGCTCACCCCACGTTTATTTGTTTTCCTTACAGGATGGGAAGATTGAAAGTATTTGCGCAGTTGTGTTTCTTATGATTGAACTTAAATAATTTGGTTGTAGTTTGCGGATTGTAGCGGATTGTAATTTATGCCTTGCGCTTTTCATTTTTTTTTTGGATTGCCACTTGAAGCTGGAAAATGTGTAACCCTAACTCGAATACTTGGGTTGTATTTGGGACTTATATATGTATCTGTCCGGCTTGGTGCGATTTTTATGCTTTGGTACGTAGCGTAAAACGTTTAAGAGCGCCGTTGGTTATTTTATCAATGCTATCTCTGAAGTTAATGTGGCTTTAAGGGTGATCCTTTTCGGGAGAGGTTGTTTTGTAATGTATAAGATTATTTTTCGAATGGTTTCGAGTTAGATTGCTTGCGTGAGTCCTGGCGAGAGCTGGGCAGACGGCCCGCCAACCCTTTGGTTCGCCTCAGGGGGAAGTGGGGTCGCCACAGGTGGTATCAGAGCCTAGGTTAGAAAAATTACTTGAGAGATATACAACACAAGTCAGGAAACCCGATTTGTCTAGGAGTAAGAATTGAGACCTTAGATATGTTTTAAGTGATGCGGATCTGATTAGCTATTTGAGTTCTAACCTCTAAGTTTAATTCTTTTGCAGGTATGGAGAATGGTAATGGACATGCTTATGGTAATGGGGCGCCTAATGGTCATATAGAGCCTCTTAGGTCTATCTCTTACAGACCACGAGGTGGAGGAGCCCAGATACGTTACACCCCAGCTGATAGGCATCCTAGGTGCCAGTGTAGGCCCATGTACGCCTACCCCAATGAGCTAGTACTATCCCTGGATGACGAGCGCCGCCATTTGAAGGACGCTAACTTCACCTTGTCTCAGGATGTAGAAGAGCTGAGTATCATGGTGGACACTCAGTTCGACCGCATAGCGGAGCAAGAGCAGAGGATAGCAGCGGAGCATACTAGGCCGGAGCTGCCCGCGTAGAGATAGCACGTCAGAGGACGAGGGTGACCCGATTGGCTGAGAGGATTCGTGATAGGAGCGTCGGTATCAGAGCTGATGCCGCGATGATGATAGATGAGGCCACAAGTATCCTCCAGAGTGTCGAGCAGGAGGATCCGGAGGAGGATCCAGAGGAGGATCCGGAGGAGGATCCAGAGGAGGACCCGGAGGAGGATCCGGAGGAGGACATAGCTCCTGATAGCCCTGCGGAGGGATAGGCTTGGATCGATTTGACTATGATGGATATGTAGGGTTAGAATAGGGGGACATTAGCTAGGTCATCAAGTTTTGTCTAGGTGGATGACTTATTTTGAGGCACTATATCCCTAATTTTTGTTTAAGGGATTGTTTGTATGTATTTTTGCTAACTACGTGCCTTACTTTTGGGAATGCCCCAACCCGTTATTTGTATGACTTTTATCCGGTGATATATGTTAAGTGTTTTACTTACTTCTCCTCCATTCCATATCGATTTTATTTACTCAGGAAATATTAATAAGCCTAAATAAATAATCCAACGCCTAATCGTTTGATCCCTCCATAATAGGCATAACTTAGACTATGGATCGCCAAGTGGTAGGAAGGGGCCGCGGAAGACCCACTAGACAACACCCGGAAGCGGGTAGAGATAGAGAGCCCGAGGTCAACCCAGACCAAAGGCAAGAGGGTGGGGCCAGAGACGGAGTGGCCACCTCTATCAATCGTATCACTGACGTCCTAGAGCGCTTGATTGAACACCAAGCTGCTGGACCAGTGCGCCATCCAGGAGGCCCAGCCGATTCTAACGACCGGGCACTGGAGAGGTTTCTAAAGTTCGGACCTCCTAAGTTCTACGGAGGACCTGAACCTGAGATAGCTGAGGGATGGTGGGAGAGAATCTCCGACATCTTCACAGCCCTGAACTATACGGAAGAGCGGCAGGTAACTTTTGCCGCATTCCAGTTTGAGGGAGCTGCTCGCTCCTGGTGGAATCTGGTGAGAACTAACTGGGACATGAATCGTACTCCAAGGACTTGGGCGAACTTCACAAGGGAGTTCAATGCCAAATTCCTCCCACCGCTCATCCAAGAAAAGAGGGAGGATGATTTCATAAAATGTAAGCAGGGGGCGATGAGCGTCGCCGAGTACGAAGTCCAGTTTACCAAACTATCTCGATTTGCTCCTGAACTGGTAGTCACGGAGCAAAGGAGAGTCAGAAGGTTTGTACAGGGTTTGAATGTGGAACTACAGGAAAGTTTAGCTGCTATAAGGATAGATACCTTTGCTGAGGCTGTTGAAAGAGCGCAGCGAGTAGAAGTAACCAGAGCTCAGGTGAAGTCTTTTCAGTCCAAGAAAAGATTTGCTCCTAGCAGTAGTCGGGAGCCGACTTTTGGAAATGCTCCACCGGCCAAAGTGGGCCGAGGAACTAGTGGAGTGAACAGTTCTGGAGCACCACGAGGCGCCCAAGCAAGAGGAAATGGGGCCAGAAGTGCAGGAGGACGAAATAATGGAGCTAGAGGGGGACCAATTGGAAGAGGACAACCTAGGAATCGGCCGCAAGGGGGTCGAGCAATAGTTCCTCAAGCGACATGTGCTTATTACAAGAAACCTGGTCATCCTATGGATAGCTGCTGGAAGAAGCAAGGAAGGTGCTTGAGATGCGGAAGTAGTGAGCACCAAATCTCTGGATGTCCAAAGATGCAAGAAGGGACTCCTCAGAACGCTAGACCAAACAATTCTGGAGGGAGCCGACCAACAGTTCCTGCCCGAGTGTACGCCTTAGGGGACCAACCTGTACCCGATTCCTCGGAGGTAGTGGAAGGTACACTCCCAATTTTTCACTGACTAGCTAAAGTATTGATTGACCCTGGGGCAACTCATTCTTTCGTTAATCCATCTTTTATGTTTGGAATAGATGTGCAACCAGTTAGATTACCCTTTGATCTTGAAGTTAGGACACCCATGGGTAACAAGAACGTAATCACTAGCTTGGCTTATAAGAATTGTGAATTCTGGATTGGAGAGCGTAAGATGCTAGTGGATCTGATTAGTCTGGATATAAAAGGTTACGATGTTATTATAGGAATGGATTTTCTAGGCCATCATCATGCTAAACTTGACTGTCGAGCGAAAGTGGTGGAATTTTGTATACCTGGTGAAGCAACCTTGAGGTTAGATGTTAAGGGTAGGTTAGCATCTTCTGCTATGATCTCAGGAATTTGAGCAAGGAAAATGTTGTCTAAAGGAGCGCAAGGTTTCTTAGCCTTCTTGATAAACGCTCCCAGTGATCAAGTGAAGTTGGAGGATGTACCAGTGGTACGAGAGTTTCCGGATGTTTTCCCTGAAGAGCTTAAGACTCTACCGCCGGAAAGGGAGGGTTTAAGTCATTGTAATAAGGGTTTAATGGTCCATATCCTTGCTTTATTTACCTAAGGGATGACCTCATAAGGTTCGGTCAAACCCACAATTCTTAGTCTTATGGAAATAGTCAAACCTACAATTCTTAGTTTTTGTCAATCCCACAATTCTAGACTAGTTTCATATTATTTAGTTTTTTCATCTCTACGTAAGGCTATAAATAGCCCACACTTCCAACGATTTTAGGCATTCAATTAATAAATCAGATTTTGAAAGTTTTCTTGGTTTCTCCAAGGCTTCTTGAATACTTTAGAATTTCTCTAAGTGTTCGTGACTTATCAATCTAGAATCACATTAGGTTGTGGCGTCTTCTACCATTATACCAAGGTTCGTTAACCACATGATTAACGGGTTGAGGTCATCCGCTCCAAACTTGGTGTCCTCTTGTCGATCCTGAAACTAATTCTTTTACGGGTTTCGTCACAAGTTTGGCGGCGTTCGTATCAGTTGGTAATCAGAGCTAGTTAAAAGGTATCACGTTATATCCCTTTATTTATTTCCTTTTTGAGTCAAATTGTCCAAAATTCTGTTTTCGTGTTCTAAGTTTGCTATCCGCAATTTTCAGATTTGTTGCATCGTGTTCTTGCGTTATTTTTTCAGATTTGTCGCGTCATAAACTTGCGTCTAGTTGTTGTTAATTGTTGTGGTTAGCCTTATTTGGTCCAGCCTTTTTTTTGTGTCTTATTCTTGATTCTTTGTTTGCGTTTGTGTTTGTGTCTTGTTTCTATTCTGTTATATCCATTTAATTCCAGTCTTTTGTTCTATTTGATCATCCGAGATTACTGTTCATCCGAAAAAATCAATTTGTAAAAAGGGTTTTAGAGTCCTATCTAGTTGCTACCTTGTGTTCTTGTTGTTTACATATAAAAAAAAAAAAGAATATAGCTGGCTGACATTACAAAATTCTTGGAAATCTGTCTTGATCAAAACTTGAATTTCTTGAAGTTCTTGATTATTTAAAATCACAATCTTGAAGTTCTTGGAACTTTAGTTGGGATTCTTGAAGCCAACCAAAATCTGTCTTGATCAAATCGTGAAAGCTTGGATTGTTTGGGGAGGAAATCATCTTCAATTTCGTGTTTCTTGAATTCTGGAAATTAACATCTTGAATTCTTGAAAGAATCTTGAAGTTTCTGGGTTTTGGGAACCAAATCTTGGTAAACAACAAGGTTGCAAAATTTCAGCTGCCAAAATCCTTGTCTTCACCACAACAATGTTCTTTTTTGCTCAAGAACATTTAAGCCACAAAATTTGACTCTTGAAAGCCAGCCATTCTAAACCATAAAATTTGACTCTTGAAAGCCTCCAGAATTGACCATTGATAAGAAGAAGAACATTCAGCCATGAAATTTGACTCTTAAAAACCAGCCTTCCTAAGCCACGAAATTTGACTCTTAAAAGCTTCCAAATTTGACCATTGATTGTGAATGCCCTCCTAAAAGCTGACTATCGAAATATTGGTGTCTAAGAGGTTCCGAGTCAAGTCAATTTTTTTCAGCTTATTCAAGTCACATTTTTCAACCAATTCAAAGTCAAATTTTCTAACCCGTTCAAGTCAAATTTTCCAGCCTTGTTCCAAAAAAAAATAATCAAATCAGTTCCAATCTTGATCTTGACCTTAGAATTCGTGGGGACTAGCAAATAGGAAGACTAATCTGTGATGCCCCCACTTCTACCTAAGACGAACCAAAAGGTATCCGCGGGACGCCTGCCCAACTCTCGCCAGAACTCAAGACAATTTGATTCACGCTTAACGATACATAACGATTAATACAAGCCAAATAAAGAAAAGTCGCTTCCATAATCGAATATCCAAGTCTTACACCACGAGTTTAGAATACATCAGGTATCCAAAAGATACATCAATTCCCAAAATATACAACAGGCAAAATGTCTAGTCATTTACATTTGAAACCCTAATACAAAAGTACATCCAAAGGGGTTTCTCCGAATTTCACTCCATGTCCATTTCTGTTAAGGAAAACAAATCTACGGGGTGACTAATTGCTCGTGAGGCCAAGAAAACACACATGCAAGCACGTTGTTCAAGTAACAATCCCATTTGACGAGTAAAACAATAATATTCAAGTAAATAACAATTCGATCTAGAAAAATAAACAGAAACAATTCAAGGATATAGAAGCTCTCAGGAGCTATTTTTTCACTTGCACGATCAAGAATCTCAACGATCAATCGGGTAGGTTATAGTCCGTAGAACTTCACTTATCATGTCCCCGTTCACCGTTACATACTCCTGTATCGGGCCCACCTATCATTTGTTTGAGACGATACTGTTCGAGTACGCCAAACAAGACCTCTCAATAGGTCAACCTTATATTTTCTCATGGCTCGCCAAGGAGCCCGACCAAACCCGTGTCGGCTCGAGTCCAAGGTTTGCCAGTGAGAATTTGGGCGTCCCCCAATTAACATTTATGAGTCGAGGAGATTCACTCCAACGACGTATGCAACCGTAGCATACCATTTCATTCATTCAATCATTCAATATATTTCAATCATTCATTTCATTCAATTCATTCAATATATTTCAATCAATTCAATCACGATTCATTCAAATTAGAATGAGTGCGGTACAGTACACACTTGACTCAGCATTTTCAAAATATTCTATTATTAATTACAATTAACACGTATTTCACGCACTTGACACTCACCAATCAAAAACCAAGAAGTAGTGCCCATTTGAGGGTTCAGGTGTCCACCGTGGGATCCTCTTGAAGGTCCTCTTGAGTGCCTGAGCAATTCATAATGAACTATTACACACTATTGCTTAAAACCCCTAATTATCAAGAAAGATTGCACATTTGTACAATCTAGAAAAATATCATGAAAATGATCCTTAATTACTCGTAAATCGAGACTCAAAAGTGGGGTTTAGGAGTTTTAAGCGATAGGCTTACGACTCAAAAGTGGGATTTAGGGGTTTTAAGTGATAGTCTTAATTATGAGTCTCGATTTACGAGTAATTAAGGCTCATTTTCATGATATTTTTCTAGGTTGTACAAATGTGCAATCTTCCTTGATAATTAGGGGTTTTAAACGATAGTGTGTAATAGTTCATTATAAATTGCTCAGGCACTCAAGAGGACCTGCAAGAGAATCCCACGGTGGACGCCTGAACCCTCAAGTGGGCACTACTTCTTTGTTTTTGATTGGTGAGTGTCAAGTGCATGAAATACGTGTTACATGTTAATTGTTATTAATAATCGAATATTTTGAAAATGCTGAGTTGAGTGTGTACTTTACCGCACTCGTTCTCATTTGAATGAATCGTGATTGAATTGATTGAAATATATTGAATGAAATGAATGATTGAAATATATTGAATGAATGAAATGGTATGCTATCGCTGCATACGTCGTTGGAGTGAATCTCTTCGACTCATAAATGTTAATTGGGGGACGCCCAAATTCTCACTGGCCAACTTTGGACTCGAGCCGACACGGGTTTGGTCGGCCTCCTTAGTGAGTCATGGGAAAATATAAGGTTGACCTATTGAGAGGTCTTGCTTGGTATGCTCGAGCATTATCGTCTCAAACAAATGATAGACGGGCCCGATACAGGGGTATGTAACGGTGAACGGGGACATGATAAGTGAAGTTCTGCGGACTATAACCTATCCGATTGACGGAGTATCAACTCGTTGAGGTTCTTGATCGTGCAAGTGAAAAAATAGCTCCTGAGAGTTTCTATATCCTTGAATTGTTTCTATTTACTTTTCTAGATTGAATTGTTATTTACTTGAATATTATTGTTTTACTCGTCAAATGGGATTGTTACTTGAACAACGTGCTTGCATGTATATTTTCTTGGCCTCATGAGCAATTACTCACCCGGTAGATTTGTTTTCCTTAACAGAAATGGACATGGAGTGAAATTCGGAGAAACCCCTTTGGATGTACTTTTGTATTAGGGTTTCAAATGTAAATGACTAGACATTTTGGCTGTTGTATATTTTGAAAATTGATGTATCTTTTGGAGACCTGATGTAATAATTGGATAGCTGATGTATTCTGAACTCGTGGTGTAAGACTTGGATATTCGATTATGGAAGCGACTTTTCTTTATTTGGCTTGTATTAATCGTTATGTATCGTTAAACGTGAATCGAATTGTCTTGAGTCCTGGCAAGAGTTGGGCAGGCATCCCGCGGATACCCTTTGGTTAGCCTTAGGGAGAAGTGGGGGCGTCACAGATTAGTCTTCCTATTTGCTGGTTCCCACGAATTCTAAGGTCAAGATCAAGATTGGAACTGATTTGTTTGTTTTTTTTGGAACAAGGCTGGAAAATTTGACTTCAACGGGTTGAAAATTTTGACTTTGAATAGGTTGGAAAATGTGACTTGAATAAGTTAAAAAAATTTGACTTGACTCGGAGCCTCTTAGACACCAATATTTCGATGGTCAACTTTTAGGAAGGCATTCACAATCAATGGTCAAATTTGGAAGCTTTCAAGTGTCAAATTTCGTGGTTTAGGAAGGCTGGTTTTCAAGAGTCAAATTTCATGGCTGAGTGTTCTTCTTCTTATCAATGGTCAATTCTGGAGACTTTCAAGAGTCAAATTTTGTGGCTTAGGATGGCTGGCTTTCAAGAGTCAAATTTTGTGGCTTAAATGTTCTTGATCAAAAAAGAACATTGTTGTGGTGAAGACAAGGATTTTGACAGCTGGAATTTTGCAGTCTTGTTGTTTACCAAGATTTGGTTCCCAAAACCCAGAAACTTCAAGATTCTTTCAAGAATTCAAGATGTTAATTTCCAGAATTCAAGAAACACGAAATTGAAGATGAT